AATTGGGTTGTAGGCTGTATGCTGCTGGCTCATTGAATGCAACACGAAACATTCTTAAAAATTATTGCTAACATTTTCACAAATGGTGATTGGTAAGACTTGTTTTTGTTTTCAATTTAGGTGAAACTTGTTTTGCAGTTTTGGGTTTTCAGTTGTATGTTTGGATCTTTGGATTTTGTCTTCTGAATAATTTTACCATCTGTTCTGTCAAACTTTATTATTTATTTGTTAATCCTAAAATCCTCTACTTATTATTGTAATATGGGTGGTGGTATTTTTCATTGCAGCCTTCTACCTGATATGATCGAGGTTGAACATATGGGCTTTTCTCCACCACTAACAGAGAGTAAAAATGGAAACCATTTCCCCCCCAAAGAAAGCACATCAGAGCAGGTCCATGAATTAGTTGGTGAATATTTAAATAGTGAACTTTCAGAAAATACACATCAGCATAGTTATGCAATAGCTCGGAATGAATTCGCTGAAACTGCCACTGGTGTGTCTTGCTCTGGCATTCACGAATCATCTTTTGAATATATGGATAAGAATTCTCCCCCTGAACATATGAGATTGCTTCCTGAGGGTGAGAGTGAGCATAATCCTACTGATCAATGTTTTTGTAATCAAGAATCTGTATCAGGGAAGACAGATGAGTATGGTTCTGGATTTGGTCGAGATACTTCAGAAAAGAAGCATCAGCCTGATTCTGATATTGTTCAAAATAAGCTTGAAGAAGACTGCACTTTGGTTTGTGGCCTTACTGAAAGTTTAGGGATGTTTTCAGAAGATTCCGGCAAGTACACCCGGATTGATAAACTTTCATGTCCCTTACTAGGCTGTGCGGAGCCAACAGCTGGTGTTGGTTCTTTAAATACATGTAAGGAACCTGGTGAACCAACAGAGCAGCGACTACAACTTGGTTCTGAAAGTTCATCAAATGATATAATAAAAATTACTAATGATATTTCCACTAACACCTTTAATATGGCCTTGGAATTGAATCCTGAAGTTATGAACCAGAGTAATTGCGACAAACATTTGCAGTCACCTCCTGAAGGTTCTAGCATTGCTTTTTATCATGTTGACCCCTTACGAATGCCTCAAGAAATTGCTTCAGAAAATCCTTGCATTCAACAACCAGGGCTCCATTCTGAAGTCATGGCCCAAAATTCTGGTGTGGAACAACGTGAAACAATGCCTGAGAATTTACTCATGAATTCTGTCCAAGGCAGGGATGGAAAAACTTCAAATACAAGGAAAAAATATATGCCAAGAACTTTGACAAAATGTGACAGGGTGTTGCGCTCAAAATCACAAGAAAAATCTAAAGCTAGTAAGTTGAGCAATAATTTGGCTGATGTTGGCCCTAGTGAGCAGCAAAAAAGTAGGGACTACAATAAAAGGATTGGAAAAAGAGAAGTTTCTGATGAATATACGAGAATCAGGTCACATCTTAGGTATTTATTGAATCGAATAAACTATGAGCGAAGCCTGATTGCAGCATATTCAACTGAAGGCTGGAAGGGACTAAGGTACAATGGTGTTTATGAGCTAATTCTTATGGCAATGTTACAAAATGTTTATCTTGATCTTAAATAAAATATATTACAAGATTATAACGATGTCACAAAATGTCATAAAGGCTTTGCATTGAATCTTCATCATCATGAACAAACTTAGTCTCAAGGATCAGGGTTGTATAGTGTATACTTATAGTTGTTTAGCTTACAATTAATCTTTCTCATTTTTTTCATTTTCTTCTGATATTGTTTTCACCATCAGCGTAATTGGTTCAGTATGCATTTCATTCTGTGGTTTTATCTTTGCTATATTCAATTCACGAGATAAAGACTTACTAAAGAGCCTTCTTTAGTTTGCAATTTTCCAGAGATGGTATTCATCAAATTGGAAAAAAGTATTTGAAAATTAAGTTTATCATTAATGGTGAAGTAAACCTGTTTACATGATTATAGTGTTAAAAATATACTCACTTTTAGATTGATTCCACAAGAAGATATTATAAATTTATAATCTATATAAGGTATTATAGATTTATAACTCTGATAATATTACTTTGTGTATCGTGGAGATTTAAAGGATAAATTCAGCTCTAATACGTAGAGAATAGGTTGTTTTGGACTGAAATTGATGCTTTACATCTGTCATCAATCTGATTGTCCAGTTCCCCATGGATTACTAACATTTGTTGCTTTGGACTGTTTGTGTAACCTGCAGCTTAGAAAAGTTAAAGCCAGAAAAGGAGCTTCAACGTGCTTCATCTGAAATTCTTAGACGCAAATTGAAAATTAGAGATCTATTTCAACGCATTGATAAATTATGTTCTGAAGGAAGGCTTCCGGAATCTTTATTTGATTCCGAAGGAGCAATTGACAGTGAAGATGTAGTTATAAGCATTTATTGTATTTTCTTTTTGCCGATAACTTTGTTCTTGGATTAGAAATGCTTAGACATGAAATCTTTGAATTGCAGATATTCTGTGCAAAATGTGGGTCCAAGGACCTGTCTGCCAACAATGATATCATACTCTGCGATGGTGTTTGTGACCGTGGATTCCATCAATATTGTCTGCAACCACCTTTGTTAAAAGAAGACAGTAATACTCTCCATTGCCTGATTTACAGTAATGAATTTGTAGTGGGCTTTGAATTGATTTCATTGTCATTAATGCTTTCTTTTTACATCCATTTCCCTTTTGCTACAGTTCCCCCTGGTGACGAACGTTGGTTTTGCCCTGGATGCGTTTGCAAAATTTATTGTATCGATTTGGTTAATGAATCTCAAGGAACAAGTTATTCTTTCACTGACCGTTGGGAGGTCAATAAACATATTTTCTTCCTTTTTATCAGTTATTACTTACATCTATATTATGTCCTTACCATGCCCCTTCCTATGAACAGAAGGTCTTTCCTGAGGCAGCAGTAGCTGCAGATGGACAAAATCAGGATCCTAACTTTGGACTACCTTCAGATGATTCCAATGATGAGGATTATAATGCCGATAATTCAGAAACTGATGAGAAGGATCAAGAAGACGAGTCTAGTTCTGATGAATCTGATTTCACTTCTACATCTGAGGAATTGGAAGTATCAGCTAATGTCGATCCATGTGTAGGGCTTCCATCGGATGACTCAGAGGATGATGAGTATGATCCTGATGGTCCTGATCATGATAATGTGGCTAAACCGGAACGTTCAAGTTCAGATTTTACATCTGATTCTGAAGATCTTGGTGCTATATTAGAAGATAAAATTTCTTCCCAAAAAGATGGACCTGCGTCTAACAGTGGTGCCATAGATTCTTTGTGGCAATTACCTAAACTTGGAAAGGAGCCTTTAAGTGATGAATTGGTATCAATAATGGAATCTGCTTCTGGACAGGATGCTGCTGCTCTTTCTAAGAAACGAATCACTGACAAGTTGGACTACAAAAGGTTATACGATGTAAGTATCATTTCAAATAAGTATTATCTTAGACAGGTTCTCTCTTCTGGCATATTTATCGATCATGGTTCTTCTTTTACACCATTTAGAATACTTTCCAAGATCCTCTATAGTTCATAGAACTTTTTTGCATTGGAGTCTCTCCAAAATGGCTTCTATTTTGGGTCCTTTTGATGGTTCAGTCATTTAAAAGGTTTTGGTCATTCCTTCATGACGTGCTTATTTTCTTTTGGGTATATGTAGGAGACATATGGCAATGTTCCTTCTAGTTCCAGTGATGATGAAGATTGGAGTGATACCATTACTCCTAGAAAAAGGAAGAAAATTACCACAGAAGCCTCTTCAGCACCAGAAAATGGAAATGCTTCATCAAGTAGGAGCGTGTTAATTTCCGATGCTTTAAAGCTGATTTCAGAAGAGGCCGAGCAGAAACCTAGGATAAAATCGCGGCAGAACTCAAATGTGAAGGACTCAGATTTGTCTCCTGCTGAATTAAAGGGTGGCACTCCTGCTTCTGGTTCAAGTGGTAAGAGAGCGAGTTCATCAACACATAGAAGGCTTGGAGAAACTGAAAAGCAGGTAAATATGGTGGCTTATATGACTATGATAAAGAAATTGGGAGAGCAATTGGATTCATCAGTTGGTTAAAAACCCGAATAATCACTTAACCAATCAACTTTGAAATTAACCGACCGTCTTAACCAAATAGGCTTAAAACCGATTGGTTCGGTTGGTTAACCGACGTTTATATGTTGAACTCAAAAGTGTTGGTTATGTTGATTTAAACCTACTTTTACTCGCCCCTACCAGAGACCAACTCGACTAAAAGCTTATATTTTTTTCTTCTTTAAATGTAGTGATTTAATTTGGGTGGATGATTTGGTTTGCAGAGACTTTATGAATCATTCAAGGAAAATCAGTATCCCGACCGAGCCACAAAAGAGAGATTAGGTAAAGAGCTAGAAATGACTTTCCGGCAGGTATTTGCTTTCTCTTCTTGCAGGGCAATTAATGCCATTGTCTCTCAACGAACTATTTTCTTGAAAGTCGTCATTAGCATAATTCTGTTTTCCTTTTAACTTTGGGTTTCTCTTATTTGTGAAGGTAAGCAAATGGTTTGAAAATACTCGGTGGAGCTTCAACCACCCTTCATTAATCACGAAACCGCTGCCAAAAGAGTTTGAGAAAATGCCATAGCTTCGGCTTTTTGGAAGAAAAACTGGATTTTAGAGGCTGAAATCGAAATTGCTGAAATAGAAGGGTATTGAGGCAATCGATTTAAAGAAAAACTGGTTTTTATAGCTTTAAATTTAATGAACATTATAAGACAGGATTAGGAAGAAAGCAGGCTCCAGTCTGGGCAAAGGGAAGTAACTTTGTTACTTGAGGTTAAAGAAAAGAAGGATATCTGTTTGTATTCATTGTTATTGGATTTTGAGTTTATCCAACTGATAAGCAGCAGTGGCGTTGGCATATAGCCCATAGCCCCCCTCCGGGGGGAGTTAACAAAGGTAAATCCGAATATCTATTATCATAATCTGAAAAAGCATAATTTGATATTTTTGTGAAATGTAAAGTCATAACGAAATATTATAAAACAGAACTTATATGCTAAAGGTGTCAAATACCATGCAGCAGGCATCACATGAAGACACTAAATAACATGTTTTTTAAAGACTTTTTTACTCAGAGGACTTGGCTTCCGACTCCCAAAAGCAACAAACTAATCTCTTGCACACTCATCCAATTGCACTCTGCTGTTGGGCTTTCAAGTACCTGCAATGGAAACGCAATAAGTTATATCCACAGAAGATTCTCAATCACTTTGAATAAAATCTTAAACCACGACATCAGATTTATTCGTCGTGCAAGAAAACATTTATTCGACCTTCGAATCATTTAGTGTCGGGCAAAACAAGGAGGTCAAGAGCCCGACACTGGAAAAGGAACAAAATGTTTTAAGGGATCACATTATGGAATAATTTAGTTTCAGGTATGGAGCATTCAATAAGTGTACGCATTCTGATGAACTGTGCATATTTCATGACAACATTTATGGTTTGATAACAGGTGCATAGTTGAACAACATTCCAACCATTTCCAATATTTGACAGTATATAACACCAACATGACATTCAATTAAGTACAAAGTACTACATCATTGGCATGAATGTTTTACGGCACAACAAGGATCAAATACTTTTGAACAGCTAAAGTTAAACAAGAAAAGGTCTAATACATTACTCCAAACTTTAACTTTTTTCAAAGTATTCGTGCCTAACACCCCATGTTTGACACCTCCAAATATTAAAAAAAAAATAGAGACAATTCAGCATAGTCATGGTATATACTTACCCATATCTGATACCCACTGCCTGAGTTTAGATGAGTATAAATAAAGACTTGTTATTTTATTTAATTATTATAATTTAACATACGGAAAGAGTATGGTGTAATAAAACATATAGTACTGACAAGCAATAAAACATGAATTAAAATCAGAGAACGGTTACTTCATCGAGAAGTATTAGAAGGGGTAGGATCATATCTAGATTACAGCTCATGCGCTGCAGGAACATAGTTACTAGTTAGGAATTAGCATTCTATAAATGACTTATTTAACAAGGAAATGCTAGGACTTTCTTTTCTCATATAGCCTAAGACAATGGCATCACTGAGGGACCGACATATTAAAGAGCTAATTATTCAGAGCAAAAAGATTAGAAAAAGGGGCTAAAATATGCCAAGCAAAAGAAAAGTAAAACCCATATAAAAGGTTTTTGTTTCTAGTTACTCTGTATGACAGCTGATTAAGTACATTTGCCTATATATTGATAATAAAAGGTGAAATAATAGTAAGAAAAATGTAAACCTACAATTTGGTATAATTCTCTCTCCTTTAGCTGATTGAAAGTCGACGTGCGTCACCCATCTTTTCCATTCCTCCCTATAAATCCCAATCCCATTTGCTTCTCATTAACAGAATTTAAAGAACAAACAAATTCACCTTATTTATGCCTGTTTATGTAAATTCACCACAACATAAAGAGTTATAACGACAACCAATTCCTTTTCTTCGTCCTATTAAACAGCATTATAAAGCATATATATATATATATATATAATATATATATATATATATATATATATATATATATTGCAAATTTGAAGTTATTCAAATCTCAAGAGAAGTGAATAACAACAATTGGGAGAAACTCCGTTTTCGTATTCATGTAACCTACAAATAGTAAGACTCACAAAGAGACTACTAGCGATCCTGACAAGTTCGACAGAAGGTACCATGGGACAGCTCACAACAAGCCCGCACGTTAACAGTCAAGTGTGACGTAAGACGAGCTGTGGGAACCATGCTATTCAGAGGCAAGAATGATTGGAAGCATCCCAATTCTCCCAAATTTCTGAAACAAACATAACAAAACCAAAACCTTTTTAGACATTCAAGCTTCATGTTGTCAATAGAAAAATGTCCGCAAACTAATATATCCATATATACAAGTCAGTCTCTTGAACAAGTCTCACTGATTCGTATGAGCTTTAAAATTTAAGAACACGTCATGAATTTGTTTTCACAGCTAATAAATCTACACAAACAGCGATTTCCAATCATTTATAGAAAAACAGGGAACCAATGTTCACCGGAAAACTAGCAATTATCCGTTTCTTTTCTTTGTTTCATCCAATAAGAAGTCAAAAGAGGTGTTTAAAGCAAGGACCTGGAAGGAGCATAAGAGATGCGGCGGGACTGGAGACGAGGAGCGGAGGATGTTGGGGGACGGAGACGGGGAACCGGTGGAGGGGAGCGGAGCGAAGGAGCCCTGGAGGCGGAGATGACAGAGCGAGAGAAGGATCCAGCACTGCGCCAAGCCATTTTCCCAGTGAAGACTGAAGTGTCTAAGCGAGAGAGAAGCTGAACGTAGTAGAAATGGAGTTAAGGTTTTTGGTTAGGGTTTAAGGGTGATGGGTTGAAATGGGCCTTTCCACTGCTTTCAAGTTTGGTCCACATATTGTTGGATTTTATTCTCATGACCCGTAAAATTAAAATACGAGAAAAATAATTAAAAAACAATTTAACAAAAAAAAAGTTTATTCATATTAAAAATTTTAAATTTAAATTTAAATTTTCCTAAGTTTTAAAATATTAATATTATATCAAATAGGTTTCTATTGTTTTAGTTGTATAAATTGTTTTCTTAATAAAACAATGAAAACAATATGTTTGACAAAGTTTAATTATGTTTATATGGTTTATTAATAAAATATTAAAATAATTGTTTGAAATATGTTTTCGTTTTATAGGGGCATACTTTTAGATTTTGCTGAGGGCCCCGAAAATTTTTGAGACAGCTTTGATTTTAGTACTCAATTACAAGGTTTTGAAGTTCGATATCAATTTAAATATTGAGTATAATTTAAGGACGGGAAGGTGTAATTAACCCTAAAACAATATAGGTTGAAAAATAGGTTTGAACTACCACTTGAAATGTTAGGCCTATGGGTGGACACGAATATGTAAGTGTATATAGGCAGTTGCAGGCATCTCAAGGTCATAGTAAACATCCGCATTGTGTTGCTTGGAGCATAAGAAATCATGGAGCTATCACTTTCAAGTAAAAACCTAACATCTCGAATGAGGTATGTTATGATCATTGGGACATCTAAGTGAAGATTCTAATAAAACTGGACACGAAATCAATAACAATATTAAAGCTTGTCTCAAAAGCATGGAACCATTTGCTATCCGATCCTTGTTTTCTTGTTAGTCTCCATAAGACCAAAACCCTAGAGTCTCTGGTTTTTTTCTACC